ACCTGAACCAGTAATTTCTTTTCTTATTTAAGCCCGTAAGATTTGAGTTTCTGTCACTTGCCACCAAAAAGATCCTGGCTGATACAGCTAGCCTGGTTCATTCTAAACCATAGCTCTTTCATCTACACTGTGCTGAATTTGAAGACCTCCTTTCTACCAAAAATAATTCCAGTCCCTAGCCCAAGAAACAAACCCATGACTTCCCCAGAGCTAATCTGGAAGGCAAAACACTTCATTCAGCAAAGTGGATTTTGCTGACAAGGAACCTGTTTCATTGAAAACTTCTCTCTGTGGCTGAAAGACTGGAGGTTATGGGATGCACCTGTTTATGGACTTGATATTTCTGCTCAACTCCACTCTCCCAAGGTGGCTAAGTAGAATTAAGGAGATATGTTACTCTGTTCTCATGCTGCTAATAAAGACATACCTGGCTGGGCATAGTGGCCCACCCTGTAATCCCTGTACTTTGGGAGGCCGAGGCAGGCAGATCACCTGAGGTCAGGAGTTCAAGACCAGCCTGGCCAACATGGTGAAACCCCGTCTCTACTAAAAATACCAAAAAAATAGCCAGGTGTGGTGGTGGGCACCCGTAATCCCAGCTACTCAGGAGACTGAGGCAGGAGAACCACTTAAACCCGGGAGGTGGAGGTTGCAGTGAGCCAAGATCGTACCATTGCACTCCAGCCTAGGCAACAAGACCAAAACCCCATCTCAAAAAACAAACAAAGAAAAGGACATACCTGAGACTGGGTAATTTATAAAAGAAAGAGGCTTAATGAACTCACAGTTCCACACAGCTGGGGAGGCCTCACAATCCTGGCTGAAGGTGAATGAGGAGCAAAGTCACGTCTTATATGGTGGCAGGCAGGAGAGCTTGTGCAGGGCAACCCCCTTTATAAAACCATCAGCTCTCATGAGACTTATTCACTCTCATGAGAACAGCAGGGGAAAGACCTGCTCCCATGATTCAATTACCTCCCACCAGATCCCTCCCATAACACGTGGGAATTAAGGGAGCTACAATTCAAGATGAGATTTGGGTGGGGACACCGCCAAACCGTATCAGAAGGCAAGTTAGATCGTGGGACTTCCCTCACAGCCCTCCATCTGCCAGGTGATTACAGCGAATTACTTGGCACTGAAGTGGTCTCTCTGTGAGGGTTTTCTTAGAGGAAAAATCAAGATTTCTTCCCATACACCCCCACAAGGATTTGTCTAGGAGGCTGAACTTAAGAGAACATGCTGCTCGTCGAACATGCTGCTTGTCAGCTACCTTCTCCTCTATGGCCTCTGCAGCAGGTCCTTAAAGGAATGAAATGTCTTCATGTAATAGAAGAGCTTGGACCAAACTCAAAATTCATTTTGAAAGAAAAAGAGATTATGCGGAGGGAAAAAAAAAAAAAAAAAGCTCTTTCTGGGGGTGATTTGCAAGGAGTACATGGTATGAAGGGGCAGCTTGTCCTTTTTCCTGGATGGTATAATGGAAATAATAGCAGCTACCACTTATAGCACACTTACGGAGGCCAGGCACCACATTAGGCTCTTGAAATACACTCTCCTGTTTTAGCCTCACAATAACCTTAGAAAAAGAGATGACAATTATCCTCATTTTGTACAGGAGGGAACTGAGGCTCAGAGAGGTATAACGAAATAAGGAAACGCCCATGGTCACGTGCCTACTTGGCGGTGAAACTGCCGGTTAGCCCTAGGACTGAGGGTGAACGAGTGAATAGACTGTGCATGTGAGTTATGCTGTTTCTCAAAATCCTGGAACAAGCAGAGTTGTTGCATTGTCAAGTTTGAAGAGGAAGCCAGCCCAGTGCCTACTGTGGTTAGCTGTCCAATTGACCCACGGATGTAATAAGTCGGCTGAATGCCCACACCCAGCTTGGCAAAGGATCAGCACTCCATAGATGTTACTACCTCTAGAAGGAGGCTGGAAGGAAGGGCAAAGGAAGAGTTCATGCCTACTAAGCACTTACCATATGTCTGGAACCTTGATGTCAAGTCACTCCTTGCTGACAAGTCTGGTCATTCCTTTATGACTGGTCCTAGGCAAGGTCCATTTTGTTCATCCATTTTTATCCCCTCTCATGGAATTCTAACCATATCCCTTGATGGTATCCACATCTCAGTTTGATGGATGTGAACACTGAGGCCCAGAGAGGTTAAGACACCTATCCCAGGATCACAGAAGGCCTCTATAAGGGTTTTAGCTGGGACGTGACCCCCATTTCCCTCACTTCCATGACAATAATTCTTATAATTCGTTTTCTGTTGTTGTTGTTGTTGTTTTGAGACAGAGTCTCACTCTGTTGCCCAGGCTGGAATGCAGTGGCACAATCTCAGCTCACTGCAATTTCTGCCTCCCAGGTTCAAGCGATTCTTGTGACTCAGCCTCCTGAGTAGCTGGGACTACAGGCATGTGCCACCAAACCAGGCTAATTTTCATATTTTTAGCAGAGATGGGGTTTCATCATGTTGGCCAGGCTAGTCTCGAACTCCTGACCTCAGGTGATCTGCCTCAGCCTCCCAAAGTGCTGGGATTACAGACATGAGCCACCATGCCTAGCCAAATTCTTATAATTCTTGAAACAGTGCTTCAAAGACACTCAAAGTTCCCCGTTGTGCAGTTTGGGGCTCAGGACAGAGCATGCAGTACCTTCACCTTTCGTCAACTCCCACACATTCCAGGTGTCTAGGGTATGTCTCCTTTGGTGGGACTTTACACAGCAGTGTGCAGGAGCTGACTCATCAACTCACGAGACCCAATTAAGATTTTGAGAATTTTGTGAGCCAGGTAACATAATGTTGGTATCTTGAAATTGGCCATGGTGGAAGTATTTGCACCACAGAAATTGGCAAATGCTACAAACCAGGGCTTTATTTCTTTTAATTTTGCAGAGATCCAGTGGTTCAATATTTCCAGCATGCCTCTGGACTTTAGAGAAACAGTTTCAGTTCACCATAAACCCATACATTCATACAATAAATACATATATTGAGCTCCACCTACAGCATAATATAATTTGCACTCACTAACATGTTTGTTCAGCAAACTTTGACTCGTGGGCTACTATGTGCCAGGTTCTATGCTAAATATTGGGAATTCAGCAGTGGCAAGATAGACATGGTCCTTGTCCCCATGAAGCTTTCAATCTAACGAAGGAGTCAGATTTAAACCCCCCCAAAAAAAGTCATACAACCTGCACTATGAGTGGGAGTTAGCCAAGTCAAGGTGGTGGGATAAAAGCAGGGAGATTCCAGGTAGAAGGAACAGCCTGTGCAAAATCTTTGTGGCAGGAGGAAACTTGGCATGTTCCAAGAACTGACCAAGGCCAGCCCAGCTGGAGAGAAAGGAGTAAAAGGGAGAATGGGGCTGGAGAGGGACCTACCAGGCCTTGTGGGCCATGCTAGGCACTTGTCTATTTTTTTATCCACAGCCTCAATAAGTCTATCAAAAACTGCTCATGCCTATAAGCTCAGCACTTTGAGAGACTGAGGCAGGAAGATCGCTTGAGCTTAGGAGTTTGAGGCTGCAGTGAGCTATGATCATGCCACTGCATTCCAGCCTGGGCAACAACACAAGACCCTGTCTCTGGGTAGGGTTGGGTGGAGGGAGAAGGTCAGGCACAGTGGCTCACACCTGAAATCCCAGCACTTTGGGAAGCCAAGGCAGGAACATCACTTGAGGCCAGGAGTTCAAGACCAGCCTGGGAAACATAGTAAGACCCTATCACTATTTAAAATAAATAAATAAATAAATATCTTTTTTAATTAAAAAAAAAAAAACCTGGTACCAATGCAGTGGCTCACACCTGTAATCCTAGCACTTTGGAAGGCTGAGATGGGCAGATCACTTGAGGTCAGGAGTTCGAGACCAGCCCAGCCAACATGATGAAACCCCATTTGTACTAGAAATACAAAAAATTAGCCGGGCGTGGTGGCAAGCACCTGTAGTTTCAGCTACTCGGGAGGCTGAGGCAGGAAAATTGCTTGAACCTGGGAGGAGGAGGTTGCAGTGAGCCAAGATTGTGCCACTGTACTCCAGCCTGGGTGACAGAGCAAGACCCTGTCTCAAAAAAAACCTGCCCACATTTTCAAAGCCTACAAAACTCAGTCTTCATTTCCTCATCAGATCGTCCTACAGAACCTCTCTGGGCCTCCCCATTGGAAAAATGAAGGCAAAAATGAAGATACTGATAACTTCACAGGGTGTGGCTGTAGGAATCAAATGAAGACATAGATGAAAAGCAGTTCGCTGCATGTCTGGCTTATCGCAAGCCTCAATGAATTGAACTGTTACGTTTATTTCCCTCCCTCCACAAATGCTCGTTCATCCCATTTCCTTTCTTGCTTTCAGTCCTCACAACTTTTACTGAGTTCTAGGCGCTGAGCTGGGTACTAAGAACCAACTCTGAATAACAGGGACACAATGGCCCTGGGAGGAGGGGCTGTTCCCACCTCCTAATTGCCTGGCTCCAATCACATATTTATATGCAAATTTTTATCATACCCCACTACTGCAAAGTCCTTGTTCTAGGAAATGTGGATACAAACAACGCTGGCATGGAATCTGTGGAATGAGACCTCTCTTTTCACCATTCACCTCCCCAGGCTAATTTAGGTCTCTGCAGGGTCTTCCCACCTTCCCCTCATCACGCTGCTCTTCACTCTGAACTCTAACTGCGCATCTCCACATTTGTCCCCAGCACCATTGTGAGCTCCTTAAGGGGATGGCCTGTGTCTTAACCATCAATCAAAACGGTGCAAAGAACGCCATTAGTCAACGTCAGCTGAATGAACCCTAAACCATAAAACGTCACAGGTGGATCAGGAGAGACCCCACCCCTGGGTCTTATGCCCACTGCATTCTCAGGCCGGACTGTCAGAGGCCACCCCAGCCACCCCCTCCGCAACCTCTGAAGTTTGGGGAAAGGCTCCAGAACCCACGGCTAGGACTGGGGCGCTTCCTCCATCCTCACCCTCCCCGGACTCACTGAGAAGTTGCCGGCTGGATTCGCTGACTGTCACGTTCTCCAGCCAGAAGGGGTTCATCAGCGGTGTGCACGGGCTCTGGACTGGATAGGACGGAGGAATCCATGGGCGCAGGACCCCGGAGTTCTGCGCAGAACCCTTGTCTGCGGCTTTGCCCCCATGCTCACCCTAAGTGCCCCACCCGGGGAGGGCATGGGGAGAACTAGAGCAGTTGGGATCGCAGGCGGGCGCCTCTCGGAAGGGCTTTCACAGTCCCGGCCTTCTGCTCACCTTCCCCCCGAGTCTCTAGACATTGCATTCTAGGAACTTGGGGGAGGAGAGCGCGCCAAGCAACAGGTCCCAAGCGAGCAGGGCACCGCGCAGGGGGAGTTCGCAGCCACAGCTCCCAGCCCCGGGGTGCACCCTTACCCCGGCAGGTCCGCCAGAGACCGGAGTGGGAGCTCAGAGGCTCCAGCTGGCTGCGATTGATGGACCCCAGCAGGTCCTGCGCCCCCGGGCCGCTCCTCTCCAATCGCTCGGTGTCAATGATGTACCAGAAGTCCGTGCCGATGGCGGCCGCCAGAAGCACAAAGCTGAGCGCCCCGGTCAGCGCAGCCGCGCCGGCCAGCCCGCCCAGGTGCACCCGCATCGCCGAGCCCAGGACCAGCAGCCGCGGGTTCCTGCGGCCGAGGCGCGACCCCTCTGTGCCCGCCCCCGTCACCAGTAGGCCACCGCGGGCTCCCAGCTCCACCGCCGGAGCCGCCGAGCTCAGATCTGAAAGCCTTTCCTTTGGACCCCTTGCCCTAGCTCAGACCCTGGATCCACCCCCAGAGCCTCACCTGCCGGCTCCGATCTGCACGCGCGCCCGCTCAGCCCCCGTCCACGTTCCCAGCCCTCCAATGCCAGCTCTACCTGCAGACCCCCTCACCTGTGTGCTGTCCGACCTCCACCTCCGCCTTCAGACCCTCCTGGAAGCCCTAGTCCTTCCCCACCAGCACCCTAACCCACCTTGTCCCCCAGCCCCACTCCACCCTCAGCCCTCCACGCCCAGCCCAAGCGGACTCTCTCACTTCAAAATCCTCACTTTCCCCAGACCCCTACTCCCTCCATTCCCCTGCCTCACTCTCCACGAACCCTTCCCCCGACCCTAGATGCTCCCCTCTCTGCTCCCCTCTCTGCCTCTGACTCTGGCTTTCCGCCCTAACCCTTTTTCTTGGCCCCACACTGCCAGCTCCCCACTCCCAGCCCTGCTCTCCAGGGTCTTCCCGCAGCTCCTGCTCTGGCCGGGTCGCAGCTGACCCTCTGCGCCCTCCTTCTCGCCGCCGAGGACAAACTCGGAGTGCGCACGCAGCACAGACAGGGGCGGTCCCCAGCCCTGGAGTGCTGGAGGCTACGAGTGTGGAAGGGAAGGCGGCCTTGGGACCACCTGGGGCAGTAGGAAGGAGGGGTGTGGCGGGCCTCACAGTCCTGCCAAGATTTGCAAATCATCTCCAAGAGTCCCTCCAGCTCCAAGCACCCTTCCTCCAAAATCCACCTTCAAGTGTAGTCTGGGCTGACTAGAATGGGAAAAGGCACATCAATTTTTCATAAAAGTTCTCTAAAGCACTGAGGTAGTCCAGGTCCTCAGAATCTATCATTTGTACCCCCAAAGTCTTTCTTCATTATCATAGCCACCACCACTGCCACCATCACCACCACCATCACCATCACCACCACCACCACCATCACCATCATAACCACCATCACCAGTACCATCACCACCACCAACACCATCACCACCACTGCCACCATCATCACCACCAACACCATCACCACCACCATCACCATCATCACCACCACCATCACCACCGGCAGCATCACCACCACCATCACCAACATCATCCCCACCACCAACACCATCACCACCACATCACCATCATCACCACCACCATCATCATCATCACCACCAACACCACCAGCAGCATCACCAACACCACCACCATCATCACCACCACCACCACCAGCATCACCACCATCATCACTACCATCACCATCATCTTCATCACCACCATCACCACCACTACCACCATCACCACCAGGAGCAGCATCACCAACACCACCACCATCATCACCATCATCATCACCACCACTACCACCATCACTATCACCACCATTGCCATTGTCATCACCATCGTCGTCATCACCACCACCAACCACCACCACCACCATCACCACCAACCATTACCACCACCATCATACCACCATCACCATCATCATCACCATCATCACCACCATTATCACTATTACCACTGCCATCATTACCATCACCACCACCACCACCATCACCATCATCATCATCACTACCACCACCAGCACCAGCACCACTCTCCTCTTTATCATCACCATCACTCTTATCCATTCAACCACCTTCTTCACCACCATAAAACCTTTTATTCTGTAAAGAAATACTTCTGGTACCTTCTATGTGTCTGATCCTATAGTCTATGTTAAGAATATAGGCGTGAACAATCCAAAAAGAAGTCCTGCCCTTAAGAAGTATAGGGTTCAGGCTTCCCAGCCTTTTACACACAGGGGACACAGAGAAAATACCTATATTTGCATGGCTTATTAATAGAAGAGGCTTCTAGATACTGGGGATGACCAATCCTCAGGAGTTACAGCTACTAAAGGCCCCTCAAGGCTGACCTTATGGCTGAGGAATCAAAATCTTGGCACTCCTGTGATCCATTCTTTTTTTTTTTTTTTTTTTTTTGAGACAGAGTCTCGCTCTGTCGCCCAGGCTGGAGTGCAGTGGCTGGATCTCAGCTCACTGCAAGCTCCGCCTCCCGGGTTTACACCATTCTCCTGCCTCAGCCTCCCAAGAAGCTGGGACTACAGGCGCCCGCCGCCTCGCCCGGCTAGTTTTTTGTATTTTTTAGTAGAGACGGGGTTTCACCATGTTAGCCAGGATGGTCTCAATCTCCTGACCTTGTGATCCTCCCGTCTCGGCCTCCCAAAGTGCTGGGATTACAGGCTTCAGCCACCGTGCCTGGCCCTGTGATCCATTCTTAAGGGACCATTGTGTCAAGGTCCAAAAGTTGACAGGTGCTGGTCAGGTTGGAAGAGAATCATCAAAGTGTGCTTAAGACAGGGTGCTATGAGAGAAAGTACCAGAGGGGAGATCTCACTGGGCTTCTCTGAGGAAGTGACATTGACACTGAGACATGAAGGATATAAAAGTATCCATGTCTAGAGAATGGCTTATATGAGGGGTTTCGTCCATTCTAGAGAAGTCGAAAGAAGGGCTATCAGACTAGAATGTAGTAAGGGAAGAGCAAGCAGAGGGAAATCAGATGGAGGGTATAAGAAGTGGTCAGGTCACACAGGTCTTGAGATCCACGATAGAGTTTCGATTTTAGTCCAAACTACTGAACCGTTTTCAGCACGAAAGTAGAATGTTCTAACTAACGTATTAAAAAATCTCACTATGCTTGCTGTAGTGTGGAATATAGAATATAGAGAGACAAGAAAGGGAACAAGAAGGCCAGTTAGGAGGACATCGTAGAAGCAGCAGCAAGATCCTGCTGACTTGGGCTAGGGTGGGGGCAGCAGTGAACAGACAGTAAAGTGAAGAGTTTTTAAAAGTTGAGGGAATAGAACTGGTAGGGTTTGGTGATAGGCTGGGGTTGAGAATTATCCTTTTCCTTGTTACTTTATTCTTCCTTGCCAATACCACCTTAATCTGTATCACTGTCATCCTCATCTTCATTATCAAGGGCATCAGCACCCTGGCAGAGCTATCACCAGCAAGAATATACCCTCCCTTGATTCTGCAGACCATTCTGTTTCATCACCCCTCCACCACTATCTTGATGAAAATAGATCTTTTCCAAAACCATCATCACTGATAATTTTGCTGTCAACTCCATCACACTTCTACTATTATCTTTACTTCCACCATCATCCAAATAGTCCTCACCATCAACTTGAGAGATGCAGGTAAAATTCAGTTGAGGCTGATCCCAGGAACCCTTACAATGTCTTTGAGGTTCAATCTCTTCCGTCTTTCTCTTCTCCTTGCCATCTCTCAATTGTTTTCCTCTTGGTTGACTTCACTTTTCAAGCAGGCTCTCATTTGTTCAATCATAGGAGCCAGTTTCACAGCTTAGCAACTCCAAGAAAAAGAAATAATCTCTCTCTCAAAAGTGCCAGATCCCCAGAATTCAATCTCATTGGCCTGTTTTTGGTCATGTGCCCATCTCTGAATCAATCTCTGTCACTCAAAGGGACCAGATGTGCTAATTGGCCAAGCCTCAGTCACCCATCTACTCCTGGAGCCAGAGTGGGAGAAGTCAGTCCCACCCTAAATATTTGAGTTCAACTATGATAGCAAAGATATAGAATCAACTTAAATGCCCATCAATGGTAGATTAGATAAAGAAAATGTGGTACACTACACCATGCAATACTATGCCGCCATAAAAAAGAACGATATTATGTCCTTTGTAGGAACGTGGATGGAGCTGGAAGCCATTATCCTTAGTATATTAACACAGGAACAGAAAACCCAATATTGCATGTTCTCACTTACAAGTGGGAGCTAAATGATAAGAACACACGGACACATAGAAGGGAACAACGACACTGGGGCCTACCTGAAGGTGGACAGTGGGAGGAGGGAGAGGATCAGAAAAAAAATAACTAATAGATACTAGGCTTAATACCTGGATGATGAAACACTCTGTATAACAAACCCCTGTAACATGAGTTTACCTGTATAACAGACCTGCATATGTGCCCTTGAATTTAAAATAAAAGTGTTGTTTAAGCCATTTGAGCTGAAAGGTGTTATGATTGCTAAATGTGACAAACAAAAATACAGGAAATCCAGTTAAATTTTAATTTTAAATAAACAGTGAATAATTTTTCAGCATATGTCCCATGCAATACTTGAGGTATACTAGAAAAACTTTTAGGCCGGGCGTGGTGGCTCACTCCTGTAATCCTAGGACTTTGGGAGGCTGAGGCGGGTGGATCATGAGGTCAGGAGATCGAGACCATCCTGGCTAACACAGTGAAATCCCATCTCTACTAAAAATACAAAAAATTAGCCGGGCATGGTGGCGGGCACCTGTAGTCCCAGCTACTCGGGAGGCTGAGGCAGGAGAATGGTGTGAACCCGGGAGGCAAGCTTGCAGTGAGCCGAGATCGCGCCACTGCACTCTAGTCTGGGAGACACAGCGAGACTCCATCTCAAACAAAAAAAAAAAGAAAGAAAAAAGAAAAAAAAAAATTTGTGTTATCTGAAGTTAAAATTTAACCAGATGGCTTCTATTGTATCCAGCAAACCTAGCGGACTCCTGAAAGAAAAACCAAGGTGCCATTATCAGAACCAAGAGAACGGACAATGGCAGGCCAAAACAGGGGTTGCCCCCTGCACCCACCATGGGCCTGTCACTTCACTGGGTCCCATGTTCCTCATCTATATAAGGAGACCTTCTTCCAGGTTCCTGGGCAAAGATAACCTTATAGGTTTCGATGTATTTTCCCCGAGGGTTTTAATGTACTCCACCTGAATCATGCTCAGTCATTCTAAAAGGAACAGAAAGTAATTTTTTTTTTTTTTATGATTCTGAGGAGGAGAGGAGCACATCAAACATCAAGTAATATCATTACTCAGCCAGTCAACTGAAGAGGCTTGATAAAATCTGAAAGCTCCCAAGGCCAGATCCAAACAAGCCATGGCGTTTAAGATTAAGGCTACACCAGGCACCGTGCTAGCTCACTACAGCGTGGGGGAGCACAACGTTCAGCAAGGATTGCAGAGGCTGGTTTTGAGTCTTAAATCAGCATCTGACAGGCTGTCTGAGCCCAGAGAAGTTGTCTATTATCTGGGCGTGGCGGCGGGCACCTGTAATCACAGCTACTCAGGAGGCTGAGGCAGGAGAATCGCTTGAACCCAGGAGCCGGAGGTTGGAGTGAGCTGAGATCGCGTTACTGCACTCCAGCCTGTGTGATAGAGTGCGACTGTGTCTCAAAAAATAAGGTAAGTGGAAAGCACTTTCAGAAGTGTGGAGGGAAATGCACGTTAAGAATGAAAAGAGGAAATATTTTAAAAGAAAGAGAAGGAAAGGGCTGGGCATAGTGGCTCATGCCTGTAATCCCAATGCTTTGGGAGTCTGAGATGGGGGGATCACTTGAGGCCAAGAGTTCCAGAACAGACTGGGCAACATAGCAAGACTCTATCTCCGTCAAAAAAATAATAAAAATAAAAAATTAGCTAGGCGTGATGGCACACCTATAGTCCCAGCTACTTGGGAGGCTGAGGTGGGAGAATCACTTTAGTCCAAGAGTTTGAGGCTGCAGTGAGCTATGATCATGCCACTGTACTCCAGTCTGGGCAATACAGTGAGACCCTGTCCCTAAAAAAATAAAAAATATATATATTTAAAAGAAAGAATAAAGGAAGAGGGAGGGAGGTATCAGGATGTAGGGAAGAAAGGTTACCTCTTATTATGAAGCACTGAGGCATCATAGGGAAAAAATGATATTTTTTAAAAAATTAATGAGACCCGGATTTGGCTGCCAGCTCTTTTACTCACCATTATGTGAAC